GATGGGGGCGGGCGGGGAGCGGGGCGAGGGCGGCCCGCGGCCGGGCCCCGCTCCTGCGTGACGCTGCCTCCCTCACGGCTGCCGCCTCCCGGCCGCCCCGGGCTGGCACGCTCTTCTCTTCTTTCCCCCCACTTTGTTTTCGTTTGAATGACTTAAGTCACGGAAGACGACGACGACTCTTTCAGCCCTGCAGATTTGAAGTACCGAATTAAGCAGCGCTATAAAAGCATAAAACATAACGAGCTGATCTTAATTGATCTGAGGGATGCTGGCGGACGTTCCCGTACAGCGTTCGTAGCTCGCTTTTCAGTACCGTTCACCGAGTTAGCGGCCAGCAGTCGCGTTCTGCCACACGGCCGCGTGTTAGAGGGCCCTCTGCAGAATGCTTACCCAGCCGCCTCCCGTGGTTGCTTTGAAACTGTTGAAGAGTGTTCTGTACGCAGGTGTTAAGGCTCTTTCAAAACACGCTGCTAAACTGACGCTTCAACCCGTATTCGGAGTTTCTCGTGGCCTTGATGTTCTTGTCGCTATGAGTTAGCTAGGTGTTTTAAACGCTTGAGCTGGAGTCAGTCTGGTCTGGTTGTAGTCCTCAACTGCACCTACTGCTGGAGGATCTGGGATCCTGATGCTTGTTGCCTGCTTAGCTTTCTGCGGGCCACCCGGGGAATCAGTGGTAGAGCCCGGCCGGGGGGCCATAACTGTTAACACGTTTACAACTCTCTAAAGCCCTAATTATTAGGGGAACCCAGGGAGCCCAATTTTCTCTGGTGTGCATGCAATTTCCAAGCAGCCCGCAGTGAAAGCGGTGGGAGGGCCTGACAAAATACAGAGGAAATTTGTATTTCTATGCAGATGGCATCAGAGCCATACGTGGCTCCCACCCCACTCTGCCGAAGGCCTTTACCCAGTCAGAGGAAAGAGGTTAAGTCTTAATAGATGCTTTCCATCCCTTGTTCTGCAGAGATGTTGTTTTTGAGCATATCCCTCAGGTGCTGACTAATTCAGGATCATGGCTGTTAAATAAGTTATATATATTAACACTTATTTAATAGTATTTTCTTAATATATCAGGCAGCTATCAGAATAGTATTTATCAGCTAATAGGTTTGCCATTGTGTAGTCTTGAATGAAGTAAGTCCCTTTCCTTGTAATTGCTACTGTTCTTCATCAAGGAGAAGTAAACAGATCATAGGAAACCTATTTGGCTTTTCAGACTATTAACAGCTGTTTGACAGCTCTGTGAGCTTGCAGAGGCGCTACTGTGCAGTTCATTAGTTTGAAACAGGGAGCAGCAACTGGCATATCTGTTCTGCATTGTGCATTTTCCACCTCTGATCTCCTCTCATCTGCAAAAGTTGATCAAACCCTTGTAAAGGATGGAGTTGTTTATTTTATTAACATTGTGAGACGAGGGAAGTGGTAGGGATGGTGTGGTGTGATGAACTAATGAAGTATCCTGTTAGTTATGAATTCCTCAGGATCACTTGAAAATAGGGCTGCATTTACAGTTGGCTTTGTAAATGGACTGAAGTGCACCAGGGATTTATACATGTCATTAAGAAACACATCAGTAATAAATTCTGGACAAATTATGCTCTGCAGGTGTAGAGATGAAAAATCTGGGTTTCTATTTGCTCCCTGCAGAAGCTGAGAAATGGGGGAGTGGAGAAAGGAGAGCAGTAAAGGCGCTTAGGATAAGAACTGGTTGAAAACACTAGCGATCTTTAGTGGCACAGCAACAGATTTGTGGAAAAGTGTATTTTTTTCCTTCCCGTCTTCTCACCTGCTGCTCTCTGCATTTTAAACAAAGAACTTTACTTTGTTTATTTTTTCTTGAAGCTCTTGTTCTCACAGCTTTTAACTTCTGATTTTCTTTTCCCCTGCTATTCCTCTTTCCTCCTCCTGCTTTTTTTCCCTCCTTACTGTCATGATGAAGGAGGGGAGAAGAACTGAACTCTACCCCTTTCCCTCTCCTTATCCTGCTTATTTTTGCAAGAAGACAGATTTATTTATCCTGCAAGAAGACAGATTATTGAACCCCATGGTTCTCATTGATATTACTAGTTTTGGAAAGGGTCGCTTTATAGAGAAGTTTTATCTGAGGAGCTCCGCACTCTTCCCACCAGCCCGGCTCCCCTGCAGGGC